AAGAAAACCAAAGCTGGTGGCATCACAGTCCCAGACTTTAAGTTCTATTACAAAGTTGTAATCATCAAGACAGTATGGTACTGGCACAAAAACAGACACACAGATCAATGGAACAGAATAGAGAATCCAGAAATGGACCCTCAACTCCATGGTCAACTAATCTTTGACAAAGCAGGAAAGAATAACCAATGGAAAAGAAGACAGTCTCTTCAACAAATGGTTTTGGGAAAATTGGACAGCCACATGCAGAAGAATGAAACTGGACCATTTTCTGACACTATACACAAAAATAGACTCAAAATGGATGAAAGACCTAAATGTGAGACAGGAATCCATCAAAATCCTTGAGGAAAGCACAGGCAGCAACCTCTATGAATTTGGCCACAGCAACTTCTTGTTAGACAAAGGCAAAAATGATCTATTGGGACTTTATCAAAATAAAAAGCTTTTGCACAGCAAAGGAAACAGTCAACAAAACCAAAAGACAATCGACAGAATAGGAGAAAATATCTACAAATGTCTTATCAAATAAAAGGCTACTATCCAAAATCTATAAAGAACTTACCAAAGAATAATCTAATCAAGAAATGGGCAGAAGACATTCTCCAAAGAAGAGATACAGATGGCTAACAGACACATGAAAAAATGCTCCACATCACTTGGCATCAGGGAAATACAAATCAAAACCTCAATGAGATACCACATCACACCAGTCAGAATGACTAAAATTAACAAGTCAGGAAATGACAGATGTTGTCAAGGATGGGGAGACAGGGGAACCCTCTTACACGGTTGGTGGGAATGCAAGCTGGTGCAAGCACTCTGGAAAACAGTATGGAGGTTCCTCAAAAAGTTGAAAATAGAGCTATCCTATGACCCAGCAATTGCACTACTAGGTATCTACCCCAAAGATACAAATGTAGTGATCCGAAAGGGCACGTGTGCCCCAATGTTTATAGCCGCAATGTCCACAATAGCCAAACTATGTTAAGAGCCCAGAAGTCCATCAACAGATGAATGGATAAAGAAGATGTAGTATATATGTACAATAGAATATTACTCAGCCATCAAAAAAATGAAATCTTGCCATTTGAAACAATGTGAATGGAAATAGAGGGTATTATGCTAAGTGCAACAAGTCAATCAGAGAATGACAATTATATGATCTGATTCATATGTGGAATCTAAGAAACGAAACAGAGGACCACAGGGGAAGGAAGGGAAAAATAAAACCAGATGAAATCAGAAAGGGAGACAATCCATAAGAGACTTTTTTTTTTTTAAAGTTATTTATTGAATTATTGAGAGGGAGAGAGAATGATAGAGAGAGAGCATGAGAGGGAGGAGGGTCAGAGGGAGAAGCAGACTCCCTGCTGAGCAGGGGCTTGATGTGGGACTCGATCCTGGGACTCCAGGATCATGACCTTAGCCGAAGGCAGTTGCTTAACCAACTGAGCCACCAAGGTGCCCCTCCATAAGAGACTCTTAATCATAGGAAACAAACTGAGAGGAGGCGGGTAGGAGATGGGGTAACTGGTGCTGGACATCAAGGAGGGCATGTGATGTAATGAGTACTGGGTGTTATATAAGACTTATGAATCACTGACCTCTACCTCTGAAACTAATAATATACTATATGTTAATGAATTGAATTTAAATTAAAAAATGTATTAAAAAATAAATGAATAAATCTTTAAACAAAATTTCAATTTCAGAAAGTTTAGTTGGAATCTAATGTAATTATACCAACTCAGAGTAGAAATACCAGTCCTCTAATAATTACTGCATGTGCTAATAGTTGTTTTAATTTGTCTTTCCTTGCTATCCAATGGGGAAACAGAAAAACTTTTCACTGGCAGATATAATCTTTCAAAATTGAGGTTTACAGGTAAAAATTAAAAGAGATAACTGGTAATGGAAAAGACTGTATACTACTGCTCAAAGATTGTAAGAATAAACAAAAACACAAATCCAGTCATATCACTACTCAGCTCTAACAGCTTCCGCACACTCTTTGGAATAAGCTCCAACCCTGACACTTTCTACAAGTCCCTGAATAATGTGATGTACTCACCACACAGTCAATTCCACCTTAGCTGTGCCAGCTTCTTTTCTGGCCCCTCCAAAGCTCCTTCCCACCACAGGGCCTTTGCATCTTTTGTTCTCTTCCCTAGAATGTTTTTCTTTTTCTTCTTTGTCTGTCTAGAACCTCCCAACTGATCCTTCGGTTCTCTGCTTAAAAGTGACTTCCTGTAAGAATTAGGCTCTTTATAATCTCCCACTCCTCCCACCCTTCTGGCCTCCTATTGTTGGAACTTTACCTTCATCATACTTGTCATAACTGCAGTTGAGCTACCATGTATTTAATGTCTTTTCCCAACCCTGTACTGTAAGCCCCATGAAGGAATAACTGTGTCTTATTTACTGCTGTTTTCCCAGTGCTGGGCATATAGCAGGAAATAAGGCACTGAAGGAAATATAATTTTGCTATGTGCTCTTGCATAAAGGCATGAAAATTAGTCTACCTCACACGAAATCATGACTCTATCAACAATACATAGTATAACATTAACAAGTGTTTGTGAGAGTTTAACGAAGAAGCTGTTGAACCAAAATTTTTTGCAATCTTTTCATTCCCAAATACTCCAAATTTCCAATTAGGTTGCTAAGCTGGGAACATGTAGTGATGTTCCTTGAAAATATTCACAGAATTCAGTGTGACAGCAAAGTTTCCTGGATGGAAACAAACTGAGGCTCTCAACCAAAGCCAATCAGCATTCAAATGAATGAGTCATTAAAAGAAATTGTGTCTGAAAGACCACCCAAGAAGAAATGGTAAGAAATTCAACCAGGGTTCTCTTGGATTTAGCCAATTCACTTACAACTTCAAATATGCTTCATAGAGGCAAGGATATGCAGAAACGTAAGTAAAAACTCAGGAGAGACCTGTGAAATAAGGATTTCCCATGATTATGCCCTTACTATAAAGAAGTTCTTGATGATGGTAGATATTTCAAAAAACTGTGGCATCTAAGATTCATCTAAATTAGTGACATAACCATTTGAAATTTGGCAGACATATGTAAGTCTACAACATACTGATTCTGTTATCTGAGATCACTGTCAACTCTTAAACTTTAATAGAGGACTTTTAGGTTTCTGTAGAATAAAAAGCTCCATAATTTAAATACCTAATGTAAAAAAAATTTTTTTAAATGAAGGGATATTTATTTTCAAGAAACCTTAACAAGGGGCACCTGGGTGGCTCAGTTGGTTAAGCAGCCGACTCTTGATTTCGGCTCAGGTCATGGTCTCGGGGTCCTGGGATCCAGCTCCATGTTGGGCTCCACCCTAAGTGGGGAGTCTGCCTGAGGATTCTCTCTCTCTCCCTCTGCCCCTCCCCCTACTTGTGTGTGTATGTGTGTGCACGTGCACTCTCTCTCTCTAAAATAAATAAATCTTTAAAAAAAGAAACCTTCAACTCAATAAATAATGAAGAGAGTAAGGGGAAAATATGAAGAAGAAAAAAATTAACAATTTAAGCTGATACCAAGAGGAGGAAACTCAAGGGGAATAAGAAGCACATGAATTGTATATTTTCTATCCTCTTATCTATCAACTCAAGACTTCCAAGAAATAAAACTGAAAGGATGAGAATCTACCATCATCTCCCTCAGTGTTTTTTACCTTACTCTTCTGATGGTGGGGAATGAGTGTGTGTGTGTGTGTGTGTATACGGTGGTGAAAGGAGGAAACTGACATTTGTTTCATGCCTACTGTGTCACGTGCTTACAGATGCTACACATGTATCAGAGTCCGTCTTCGTAACCAACCCACGGAGGTTACAGAAGTGAAATGACTGGCCAGCAATCACCTGGCAAGCATGTGGCAGGGCAGGGGTGCTCCTCCCACACCACCACGCTGCTCTACTTGCCCTGGTTCTGTGGGAAATATTGGTCATTTAGTGTAATGTTTCCAGTTTTTTTCCTTTCCATTATTCCATCCAAATGAGTCTTCTTTCTCACTCTCTCAGAGCAATTTTATTAAGCTTCCCACTTTGTTCCATAGCTCAGAAATCAGGAAAAAGTAAACCTTTCTTCCCACACAACAGCTGCTTCTCTACCACATTCTAAATGGAACTGTTAATGAGACCTATGGTGTTTACCCCAAGCCCACCAGAGCTGAGAAGGAGCAGCTTGCATTGCCCTCAGTCATTCTCAGTGCCCAACATTTGCACACCTAGGACGTTCTTAGTTAAATCATTGTTCAGTATCAAAATAATAATCTATTTTCTAATTTAAATGATTGCTTTGTTTGACATATCCTTCCATTAGTAGCACTTCTTAAAACTTTCCTACCACAGTGCTCCTAAGAGCAGAGGAAACAAATCCATGCCACAGTAACCAAAACGCATGAGAGATTTTGTTTAAGTCTTGCATCTTATTTTAGAAATTCAAGTAAATTTTGCATTCCATTCCACTCAATAGCCTTGCTTTTAATTTCCCCCCTTGAGACTATCCACACGAACAAGCTAGCAAATATCTCAGGTTTATTTTGTAGCGTCTCAGCACTCCCAAGCATACTCCTGGTGGATAGAGAATCTATTCTTTTGAGAAGAATGGTAATGTGGTCTTTAACACAGTACTATGAAATGGTAAGCTGTGGATAACAAAGCTTTAAATTTGTATGACACATTTCAATAATTGATAGATTTTTAAAAAGTTATTGTCATTTGTGTTCCAATCTTATAAAAGTGAAAAATCAGTATTTCCTCTACCATGGAAAGGGAAGTGTATGGAATTTATATAAATTTAATATATTCTAATTTTTAGAATTCTGAAACTGAACTAATTTTATTTGTAACATTTATATATGTGTTATTAACTGTTCAGTCTTTCTACTCTATTCTAATCTCAGATAACAAATACTAGAAGAAACACTTCATTTTTATATTTAGAAACTGTAAAATGTGGAAGTTGTGGTATAAAGTTGAAAATTACCTTGTTTCTCTATAACTGAGTATGAGGCCAAAAATCCTCGTCCAGAAACATGGATTCCACTCATGAACAGCACTGTAATTTCATTGCTTTTTGATTCAATTGAATGATTCATCTGCAATCCCAGACCACAGTATTTGCCTAGGAATGAGGGAAAATAAAGGTATTTGTTAAGACTCTCATAAAGTCAGTAATATTTACAATGTAGGTAAGAGCATCAGAATAATATACTAAACTGGACATTAAAGAGAAAATGAGGACTAGAATGTTTAGTGATTAAAAACCACATTACTCTGAAGAAAAAAAATGCCAAGTAATAACTAAATAATTTAAAGGGAAAAAAATGGTATAGACATCAGTGATCTTACAAAGATTCAGTTTCTTGTGAAAGACATTTCTTGTATACTCTTTATAATAGTTGTGAAGAATTAAAAAAATCTTAAAGCATTTCATGCATGCAGGTGGCTCATAAACAAATGTATAGTTAATCAGTAATATTCTTAACATACTCCCCACAAGGTGCCCCTAGATTCCTGGGCTTAGGGCACCCCTTAAACCTTTTTCAAACTCCCCTCAGTTTTTCTTCCAAGGATTGCTGAACTTTTAGTTAATCCCTTAGGTAATCACGCCCAGTCCTACAGCTTTAACTATGCTCTGACAATTCACATACACCTCTACCCAGACCTTTTCTCTTGAAGTTTAGGTGTATATATCCAACTGCCAACTTTTATCCTTTAATGTCTAATAGACATATAAAAATAACATACTCTCAATACAGATAAATAAAAGGGAAAAAGAAAAAAATTAGAGCAAAATATCCACCAATAACTAACAAAAATGCATTTTCTTATGTGCTTGGTAACCTAACAAATTCTAAATAAAGAATAACATTCCAAAAATGTTTTAGGTTGTGGCAACATCATTCTAGAATAAGAGTAATGGGTACTTCCACAAACACCATTTTTACGGACTACTTATGATTTTTTGTGTAAACTATCTTAAGGAATCAAGAAAACCCCAACAGAACTGGTAAGGGAATTTAACAATGTCACAGGATCAATATACAAAAATCAATTATATTTCCACATACTAGTCACAAATAATCTGAAGTGAAATTTTTAAAACTTCATAACAGCATCAAAAATATTAAAATATTTAGGGATAAATATTTAAAAAAGAAATTCAAAGGGTTCCTGGGTGGCTCAGTCGGTTAAGTATCTGACTCTTGATTTCGGCTCAAGGTCATGATCTCAGGGTTGTAGGATCAAGGCCCTTATTGGGCTCTGCATTGGGTGTGGAACCTGCTTAAGATTCTTTCTCTCTGCCCCAACCTCCATGCTCCTGGCACTCAACAACAACAACAACAACAACAAAAATAATCAAAACCAGTATACTAAAAAATAGAAAACACTGCTGAGAAAAATTAAAGGGAAACTAAATAAAATGGGAGACAGACCAAGTTCATGAACTGGAAGACTCAATATTGTTAAGATGTCCATTCTCCCAACACTGATCTATTGATTCAATGCAATCCCTATCAAAATCCTAGTGTTGGGTGCCTGGGTGGCTCAGTTGGTTAAAGCGACTGCCTTCGGCTCAGGTCATGATCCTGGAGTCCCTGGATCGAGTCCCGCATCGGGCTCCCTGCTCGGCGGGGAGTCTGCTTCTCCCTCTGACCCTCCCCCCTCTCATGTGCTCTCTCTCATTCTCTCTCTCTCAAATAAATAAATAAAATCTTAAAAAAAAAAAAAATCCTAGTGTTGTTTTTTTTTTCTTTTTTAGAAATGAACAAGTTGAGGCTAAAATGTATATGGAAATGCAAAGGACACAGAATAGCCACAACAATGTAGTGAAAAAGACAGTTGAAAGACTACGATAACCTGATTTTAAACTTACTATAATACCACAGTAATCAAGACAGTGTGATACACTATAACAGCAAATATAGATATATCTAAATCTTTATATCTATGTCTACACCTATATCTATATATATTTCAGTGGAGCAGAACAGAGTTCAGAAATAAACCCACATATGTGGTCAAATTGTTTCTGACAAAGGCATGAAATGAAGGTAATTCAATAGAGAAAGGATAACTCTTTCAATATACTAAACCAGGTAGATATCAATATGCAAAAACAAATGAAGTTAGAACTTTACTTCAAGTCAAAATGGATCACAGACCTAACTATAAGAGCTAAACTTCTAGAACTCTTATAAGAAAACACAGGAGAAATCTTTGTGACTTTGGGCTAGGCAAAGATTTCTTAAATCCAACACCAAAAGGAAAGTCCATTAAAGAAAAAAAATGAGTAATCTGCACTTCATCAAAATTTAAAATGTTTCCTCTTCAAAAGACACCATTAAGAAAATGAAAAGACAAAACACAGACTGGGAGAAAATATTTATGCAACATTAATCTGATAAAGAACTCATATCTGAAATGTGTAAAGAATTCTTTTTTTTTTTTTTTAAAGATTTTATTTATTTATTTGACAGAGAGAGACACAGCAAGAGAGGAACACAAGCAGGGGGAGTGAGAGAGGGAGAAGCAGGCTCCCCGCGGAGCAGGGAGCCTGATGTGGGGCTCAATCCCAGGATCCTGGGATCATGACCTGAGCCGAAGGCAGTCGCTTAACAGACTGAGCCACTCAGGTGCCCCTGTGTAAAGAATTTTTACAACTCAATCTCATCTTGTAAAATGGGCGAAAGATTTCAAAAGCCACATCTGTAAGATTTTATTTACTTATTTTGAGGGAGAGAGAGAGAAAGCATGATCATGGGCAGAGGCAGAAGGAGAGGGAGAACCAGACTCCCCACTGAGCAGGGAGCTCAATGCAGGGCTCGAGTCCAGGACCCTGGGATCATGGCATGAACTGAAGGCAGATGCTTAACTGATTAAGCCACCCACGTGCCCCAAATAGCCACATCTATAAAGAAGACCTACCAAATGGCAAATAGGCACATGAGAAGATGCTCAAGAGCATTAGCCATTAGGGAAATGACTATTAAAACTATGAGATATCATGACACTCTCACTAAAATGGCTATAATCAAAAAAGACTGACAATACCAAATATTGGTGAGGATGTGGAGAAACTGATACCTTCAAACATTGATGGTAGAACTGTATAATGACATAGCCATTTTCAGGAAGCAATTTGGCAGTTTCTTAAAATGTTAAATATAAATATAGATATGTATATATATCTCACACAATTCAGCAATTCCATTTCTATTATCTATCCAAGAGAAAAGAAACCACATGTTCACAGAAGGGCTATTCAAACGGTCACAGCATCATTTCTCACATTTGCCCCAAACAAAAACAACTTAATTGTTCATCAACTAACTAATGGAAAAAAAAAATGTGGTATATATTCATACAAAGAACTACTACTCACCAAAAGACAGAAACTAATGATACATGCAGCAACATGGATGAACCTCAAAAACATTATGCTAAATAGAAGAAACAATTTATGGTATTTCTAGGAAAGACAAAATTAGAAATAACAGATCAGTGGCTACCTGGGACTGGGGGTAAAGTGGGAACTGACTACACATAGGCACAAGGGAACTTTTTGGTGTGACAGAAATTTCTTAATCTGGATTTTAGTGATGCTGTTTGATGAGCATCATCAAACTATGCATTTAAAATAGGTGAATTTAAAAAAAAATAAATAAAAATAAAATAGGTGAATTTTATGGTATGAAATTATAGCTCAATAATAAGGATTTCAAAAGAAATACAAAATTTTATGGTATGAAATTACAGCTCAATAATAAGGATTTCAAAAGAAATTTCATAAGAAACATTGAAACAATGTGTATTGTCAGAAACCATCAAGTGTTTCATGCAAAAAAAAAAAAAAAAAAAAGTTCAGAGTCAGACACAGCAGAAAAAGGCCTTCAGAGATCTATTCCAAGCTGCTGACAGCTGAAAAACCTGAAAATCAAACACATGGGTGGACTGTCCAAAATAACACTACTTATTAGAGGTGAAATCAGTACAGAATCTGGGTCCTCCATTTTGTCTGATGCTTTTTTCTTCCACACACTACTTCCCAGTAACGGGGTTGACACTTTCCCTAGGGCTGCAAGGAGAAGCCTTTAACAACAGCATGATCTCCCTAGTAAGTGATTTGGGGTAGCACTTGCGGACCTCCACAGTATCTGCAGTGGTCTAGCTGCTGTCTTCTTTCCACCCATAGCAACAACACCCTTGTGTTCTTTCCCTCATCATCCAGCAACAGTCTCATTCCTTAACTAAATTAGTAAATGCTTCAGCTTGTCTTTTTGTATAAACCATCATCTCATAATACTACTTTTGCCCTTAACTGAATTATTTAAATCTATGCCACCTTCATTTTGAGAAAATTGCTGAGAAAGAGACTACTCTTTCCATTTCACTCTAAAATCACTTTTTATTGAATCAATGTTTCCAAAAGATCATATACAAGCAGAATTGTGACATTCAGTCGTATTCTTAAAAATGAATTCTTTTATTTTATTTTATTTATTTTTAAAAGATTTTATTTATTTATTTGACAGAGAGATAGAGAGAGAGCACAAGTAGGCAAAGAAGCAGGCAGATGGAGAGGGAGAAGCAGGCTCCCCGCAGAGCAGGGAGCCCAATGCGGGACTCAATCCCAGGACCCTCGGATCATGACCTGAGCCGAAGGCAGCCGCTTAACCGACTGAGCCACCCAGGCGCCCATGAATTCTTTTTTTTAAAGATTATATTTATTTATTTGAGAGAGAGAGTAAGTGAGGGGAAGAGCAGAGGAAAAGGGAGACACAGACTCCTTGCTGAGTATGGAGGCCAATGTGCAGGGCTCAATCCCAGGACCCTAAGATCATGACCTGAGTCGAAGTCAGACACCCAATCAACTGAGCCACCCAGGTGCCCCCAAAATGAGTTATTCTTTACAACTGTTTTTTCCCCTGCCAATGAAAAAGTACTATAATTGTTTTAAATACATTTCATAATTTTGTATTTTATGTGTTAGATCTAAAACCAGGTAATTCTTTTTTTCCATAAAATGGAAATGATTTAGCCCTAAAGCCATATTGACAGTCGTCAGTTAAAAACCCCAAATTCTAAAACATCTAGTACTGTCTATAGATTTTATACATA